GAAGTCACTTTAATATAATGAAAACATCTTCAACTTTTTCTTTCTCCTGCAAGAACCACTTGGCCCGGCACTTGGTGACCTTCATCATCTTGCAAGTCCATCTTGACCTCAGCTGGAGAAAGCATCAGAATGTTTTGCGTGCTTTGAGTCTACGTTTTTGTTGGTATAGCCAAAAAGTGATATATTTTATGCGTACCAATTTGTGGTGTTGTTCAAACAGTGCACATAATACTTGCTTGAATATTGTCTTTGGTGACTAAGACTTTGTGCCTCAAAGGGCTGGAATTTTATCACTGCACTCATGGTAATCACTGTAGTTCGAAAAGAAAATGCAGTGGATCACTGTGGACAATTAATTAATGACAGCAGTTTTTTGTAAGTGTAAATTTTAGGGAATTGGTATATATTATTAGCAACCTGTGTTTATGATTTTTATTTGTGTAGATGTTGTTACTTTTTTGTATTAATTACTGAAATGCAGGGGGGATCTACCGGTGAGGTGCAAAGGGTGCGCAAAGGTCTCCCCCTAGTGGTGACCAGCACCCCCTTGAAGAAAACTCTGGTATTCCATATTTGAGTTGTGAATACTACTTGTTATATTGAAACGATTGATTTTCGGATACGCGAGAAAATATTTAAGCCCCAAATCAATATGGTGGGCCACCATATAATGTAGCACTTAATTTTTGCCCGAAATACAAGTACTGTGAGGACAAATGTAAAGAATGAACATACTGCTCAGAATGCAGGAAATGGCATTTCAGGGCTTCAAATTTCAAAAATACATACTATGGGGAATACCCCGGATCCCTGTAGTAATGCACTCCCCTCTGGAAAACCTCCACCCCCTCTAACAAATCAGGCCAGATCTGCCCAGGACTGCTGAAATCTCTAAAGGCAGAAGAAATATAGAAAAGAAAATTTCTGCCACAACCTGTCACTCACAATACATATGACATATTAAATGAAAAATGCTGTACAATTGGTGAAAAGTGCAGCAGCTGTCTACGGCAATTTTTTATGTAATTGCTGTGGAAAGTTGTTAGGGAAATTCCAGGCCTGTTGAGAAGTATTTCTTTCTGTGTGATATGACTAATTTGTAGATATTTTTGAAATAGTAATTAGTTATAAATTTTAAGTTTAACTTTAAATAAATGAAGTTGCATTACAAGAATACTATTACAAATAAATAGCAATGGCTAAAAAAATATTCATCTGAACAAATGTTATGGTTGCTAACACCATGACCTCTAATGCCTTCACACATTGTGCAGATTCTCAGGATGCCACTCTGAAATTTTATAGATGTCCACTAGAGAAATTTTTCATCTGCATCCCCCCAGCCATCACTCACAGCATCAGGGATTAGCTACAATATGGCCCTGACAAACGATGAGAGGTTGATGTCACCTTGGACCAATGGCTAAAAAAATATTCATCTGAACAAATGTTATCACTATGGTTGCTAACACCATGACCTCTAATGCCTTCACACATTGTGCAGATTCTCAGGATGCCATTCTGAAATTTTATAGACTCCACTCAGAGAAATTTTTCATCTGCATCCCCCTAGCCATTAGGGATTAGCTACAATACAACCCTGACAAACGATGAGAGGTTGATGTCACCAGCTTGGACCTATAGTCTGTAGACTACAGATGTGCATCGGATCAGATTGGACATTTATAATCCGACAATTGGCTAATGTTTAAAATCCAATCCGATCCGAAATTGTCTAATCTGAATCCAATCCGAGTTTTGATAAAAAATTCCGATCAGAAGAATCCTTTAATAAAATAAATTTCTCATTCAAGTGGGAATATTTAACCAAATAATTATTATATATAATTAACTTATTTTATTTCGAATATCAAAGTCCGATCCGATCCAACTACGAAACAATTTTATCAATCCAATCCAATACGAAATGAATATTTTTGTTCTGAAATCTGAATTCGAATTGTATTTGCACACCTCTACTATATATATAGACCCTCGTTTTTGGGTAAGTGACATTTAGTTAAAGCCAAGCATCACAATCATGAGAGCGAGGCTCTATAATGCTCGCTGGAAGTGTGTATTGACTGGGCAGTCAAGTACAAAATCACTGGACTAGAAAATGACCGGTGTTACCCTTGACTGTGGAAAATCACAGCGACCTTACTTGTTTATTAAAATTTAAATTCTCCGCCACTTCTCAACCTCCAATAAAAATATTCAAACCAGTACCACATTCGCTGAATTAATTAAATGTTAATTTGACACAATCACATGGCAATCTTTATAAATAAAAATATCATTATTCGAATGCTTACCTTCCGTCTGGGTCGTTTAATTTGCGAACTTTCTTGTGACATAAGGAGCAAGATGGATAAGCATACAAGCAACGTATCCCCAAAACTTTAACCAGAACTAAACCCTTATTCATTACTATCGTACAATTAAACCAAAATTTTTCTCCATTTCCTTTAATACCATTAGTAATTTGGTTTTTCTAAATCCGTATGGTTTGAAATCCAAATAAAAAATGCTTTTTTAAAAAATACAAATCCATGATTGTGTCCATGATCACAGTACCATAGAGATTATAAATAACACTAGAGGAGGCATCGAGTTTAAAAATTGGGAACGCAGCTAATGGGGGGCAAATTCAAGTCCCGGATATAAAATCGTGCTCTCATTGGCTGATTTGAAACTCGTCACCAATGGGAACACGAATACACATCCGGGACTTGAATTTGCCCCCCAATAGTCGCGTTCCCTTTTTTTTACTGAATTAAGATTACAATGCCTCCTCTAGTGTTATTTATAATCTCTATGCACAGTACAACATCCAACCCTATCGCGCGTGACTCGCGCGTATCCCGCGAGGATCGTGAAAACTACTGCTAGTGATGGGCGATACCAGCCTAGACCTAGGTAGCCTGCGAGCAGGCTCTCTGGGGAAAGAGAGCCTGCAAGGATCCCTTTGATGATTCGGTGCATGCGTCCAATATTTGGACGCAGTGCTCTGATTGGTTGATAACTGATTCATATGAAGTGATTGACAAGCTTCCATAAACTT